GCTCAATTCAATTTGAACCAGGGCCAGTATTCTTATGCTGTTTGCTGTCCTCCATTCTCTGTGTTATCAATGCTAAACCACGCATGCTTTGAAAGGAGCAAAACCTCCAGCTATTTTCTGGCTGCCCAGAGTTCCTCAGACCCTTCTCCTTCCTCCTTCCTTTGAGAACCTGCCTTTTACCACTCCCTTGTTTTTGTGTTTTCAGCCATTGATCCACACAAACAGAACAAAGTCCTTCCCTCTGCCTGTGGCTGGCAGGCAGCTATTTGTGCTCAGGCTGTTGTGTAGTGCTGTTGAAGGTGAATTCCCCTGGAAGGTCCCCAGAAGATGCTGGACACATCTTGGCTTGCCCCAGCTTTGATGCTGTGACCACAGTGTGCTGTGTGATGGGGAACAAGCACAACAGGCAGGAGTCCTTGGCTGTAAGTGTGACACCATTACTGCAGAAAAGGTGCTGAGCTCATGGGTGACAGCTGAGCACCCAGCTCTCCCCACAGCTCAGCTAACATGTTCTGCTGCTCTTCTGGCCCAGGGACTGTGCCCTGGCAACCTGGTGGGCCACCAGCTCAGCCTCTGCTCCCTGCTGGAGCTGGGAGACCCTGGTGAGCTCTGAGCTGCTGCTCTGGGCTGTGACAGCTTCTCACCCCTCAGCCCACCTGGCACCTCAGGCTGGCTGGGGGCTGACTGCCAGGCTCTTCAAAGGCTCCATGGTGAGGTTTCTGTATGAATCATGAGCAAAATGAAGGGAGTGGATCATTTTGAAGCTAAAAAGGCTGAGGAGAGCTGCACGTGTCAGCTGTCAGAAAGCAAGGAGAGAGGCTGGGTTTGCTGCCCTGTTTTCTCTGCAGATCTGATCCCTTATTCCTGGGTATCTCCTGCTGTTTCCCAGTGCCTGTTTCACCCATGTGTTTGTGTTAGATTTCCAGCCTCATACACCAGAACAGATGGTAACTGCCTTGGTGTTGATGCAGACAGACCCTGGTAACTTCTGGCACAGAGCTTTTGGTTGGATGGGTCATCTGATCTGCTCCTTGCCCAGTCCCTGGCCCTCCTCATCTCTGAGCCCTGTGGCTCCTGGCCATCTCCCACCTTCCTGTCATGCTGCCTGTGATCTGGCACTGCCCTTCCACCATGGCCAGCAAGACACTCAGTGGGTTGGGAATGTTCATGCCTGGCAGCCCTGAGTCCTTCATCCTGTGTGTGACATCTCTGCTCATATCTGCTTGGTGACCAAATCCAGCGGGATGAGCAGATTTTCTAAGTTTTAGGCAATTTATGACTTCTGGCTTGGGTTGATGTGCCTTTGTGAGAGTTCAGCTAATGGCAGTGTGTGCCATGCTCTTGCTGGAACTTTGGAAGGGGCCATGGGAAGTTTCCCATTTTCCAGCTCCTTCTTTCTCTGGGGAAGCTGTGCTAGGACAGAGTGCATGGCAGGGAACCACGCTGGCTGCATTCACATCCTGACCTTATCAGGACAAATGAGACCAAAGGTTAGTGGTACTTGCACATAGTGCAAGTGCCTGGGTTCCACTATGCTGCTTTTCTTGTTGCTTTTATTACTGCCTTGGGGGTTTTGCACATAGAAGGGCTGGAGAGGAACAGGCATGAGTTAACAATGAGAGAAATGTTGAAGAGGATAGGAAAATGTGGGAGAAAAAACTCTGAAGTGCAGCAGTGTGGTGGGAGAGGGTGCAGGCAGTGAACTGAAGCAATTGGTGAAAGGGAAAACACAACTTTGATACAGCTGGTCCATGAAAATGTGACTTTCCTCCCTGTCTCCCTTTCTAGGAAAGATATTTCCCCCTCCAAGTTCTAGCACTAACTTTTCTACAGCTAACATTTCTTTCCTTCTCTGAGAGAGGCTTTTGCCCTGAGGAAGTTTCTGTCTTTATCGTGTTGTGTTTTTACAAACATGGGGGGAAATTGGGCCCTTGTGGAACTGGAGAGGAGGAATGATCCTCAGTAGAGAGAAGTGCTTGTAGTCCAAGACATTTGGTTGCTTTCTAAGCAATAGTTTGCCTTTGCACCACAAATAAATATCCCACTGCTTTTTGCAGTTATAAATTCATAGCTGTGGCACTGCTATCTATTCCAGGTGTGATATTGTAAATCATGTGACTGCTTGGAAATGTGTGTGATTATCAGGACTCAGTCATCACAGCAAATAAAGGTGAAAGGATAACTGCAAGATGACCTTCTGCTGCCTGGAAGGCAAAGTCTATGTGAGGTGCCACTCTCTGGGCAGCCAGGAGCCAGAGGCTTCCCCAGGCACTGCTGAGCCACTCACTGAGAATCCATTTGGACAAAAACTGGGGGCAAAGCAACAACTCCTTGTGTACAGGTCCCAGGTTTTCCCTGGGTAAAGCTTCAGTTGCTGGATGTGTGAGATCCTGCCTCTGCAGCCCTGAAACCTCTGCTGGCACCAGGCAGCAGCTGAATGCAGCATCTGTGCTTGAGCTGCTGCAGAGCTTTCCTGCATTCAGCATGTGGGATTATGTCTGACACTATTTCAGGAAGTTTTGTTCTGCTGATGGCCTAAGGCTCTAAAGCTAAATAAAGGGATTTTTTTAGTTTGTTTTTGAATGGTTCCAAAGCTCACAGGTGAGCTGCAGCCAGTGATGGTGTAAGGATGGGGTAGGTGATGGAAACCCTTCCAAGCCTGCAGCAGTAGCTCCATTCATTTCCTAAATGCCCAATGATTACACAACGACTCCTTTTTGTTTTCCACTTCAGAGAAGTTATCTTTATTTTTGCAACAGCTTCACTGCCTTTAGATCTTTCTCTCTGTCATGCAAGGTTCGTAGCACAAGAACCTTCTTGCCCTTTGAGCCCTGCCCATAGGAACTTTCCTTTATTGCTCTGGCTGGGTTTGAAAGGGCTGAGCAGCTCTCCCCAGGGACCTGCTCTCCTGTGATGTGAACACTTCCCAGGTAATTTAGCTGTGTGCATAGGACAGGTGAAAACAGCTCTTATTCCAACAAAATAAGAGTTGGGGTTATGAAGAGTTTATTTGGTTTGTGAAGAGCTTGATTAGGATAGGCAAGTTCAGAAAAATCCGGAGTCAAGGTTTAAAACTGTTTCTATCACATGGCCTGTGCAGGGAGTTAATGCTAAAGAGCTGATGAGGCTTCTCTATGTACAGGTGGCCTAAAAGTCTCTTTAGTCTGTTGCTTCTGCAAGTCCCACGTGCCCTGGAGGTGATGGAGGAGCAGTCAGGCACCAGCTCAGCATAGCAGCCCCCAGGTCTCTCACTCCTGAGCTGGAGAGCACCACTCTGTTTATCTTCCCCTCCCAAAGAGTTCAAAACAGCAAAACTGACACTATGTACCTGGGGGTAGAATTTATCCATCCAGATGCTTCAATAGCTGAATAACTACCAAATTCTGTCCTTGGACTTTACCACTTCTCACTGGTAAAATACCCAACATGCAGTCAGACAGTCAGACATGCAGGTACCTTGGCAGGCAGCAAGGGAAAGCATTTCCAACATCCTGGTAAAATAGTCTTGGAGCATGTCTCTGCCTCAAGCTGTGAGGGGATTGCTGCTGCTTTATTCTGTTTCCAAATCTTGGGAATTGAACCTTTTATCTGTGAACACTTCAATGCTGGGGTGGGTTTTTTTTGCATGTAAGCATATTTGTGAAAAGCATGCCCCTTTTAATGCATGAATGGGTGAATCAATCTCCACCTTATTTTTAGCAATGCTTGCATCATAGAAAGTTTCCCATCTCTCTCCTGCCCCCTGCCCCCACGTGTGGTAAACTTGCAAGGGCTCTTAAGCCTGATTTCCTCCTTGTGCTGGTGGTGCTGAGCTGGGGTCCTGTCCCAGGGCTGGAGGTAGCTCTGGGCCTGCAGCCCCACATTCTTTCCCTGGTGGGAGCTGCTGCTGCAGCTGGCCAGGACACAAATCTGCTCATGGAATCATAGAATCATCAAATGCTTTGGGCTGGAAGGGACCTTAAAGGTCATTTTTCTCCAACCTGCCATGGGCACAGACACCTTTCATTATCCCAGGCTGCTCCAAGCCCCTCTCAGCCTGGCCTTGAACACTTCCAGGGATGGGGCAGTCACAGCTGCTCTGGACAGGCTGTGCCAGGGCCTCAGCACTCTCCAGAGTCAGGAATTTCTTCCCAGCCTCTATTCAGTCCAACCCTACCCTGTGTCAGTTTGTAGCCATGTCCCTTGTCCTGTCACTGTCTGCCCAGTTAAAAGTTGCTCTCTGTCTCTTTTACAAGCTCACTTTAAACACTGGAAGGCTGAGAATCTGGTGGGTGATTTCTTTGCTTGTACACAACATGTTCCTGCTCTAGACCTGCAGGATTTTAGGTGTGTGTGTGATTGAAGGCAGCCCAGGGACTCAGGGATTCCCAGCTGCAGGGGATTCCCAACACAGGGGCCTCCAGGCCAGGGAGCGTGGCAGCTCTGGGGGGACAGCACAGTCCCCACACTCCCAGCCCTGCAGGGCCAGCCTGAGCTCATCAGAAGCTGCTCTCTGCCCAAGGTGCCTCCTGGGCTGCCAGGGAGGGCTGGTTAATGATTGACCTGAAAAGGGACCTCCCCAGGCTGCCCCTCCACTTCACTGCGCTGCGTTTGAGACCCATGACCTGGCACTCAGCTCTCCCTCCTCCCTCAGGGAGCTCTCATCTGTCCCTGCCCTGCAGGTCAGTGCAGCAAAGCCTGTGCCAAAGGCAGTAGGAAATGTCCTCTTTGTTCCAGCCCCTTGGGCTGGGTCTTCCTCTCCTGCAGCCCAATATTCTCCTTGGCTCTGGCCCAGAAAATGAAGTTATTCTCCAGAGGCCAGCACAGCAGAGGGGCTTTCCAGGCAGAGTCAGTGCCTGTGCCTCTCACACACTGCCTCAGCCTCACTTGTATCCAAGCACACATGATGCAATGATGTTAGACCCTTACAGCATGAAATACAGCAAATGAATCAAATATTCAGGGGAAAACCAGCTTGCTTTCCCCCTGCCTTCTGAATTGTGCCTGTGCTCTCTTTTTAGGCAGACCTGAGGTCTTGGCCTTCACTGCTGCTCTAGTACCAAAGCCAGTGGTTCTGCTGACAGAACAGCCACAGCAGGGACTTGCTGTACAGGACTTTGCAGCACAGCCTTGCTCTGAGTCGGGTCTGACCCGCAGATGATGGCAAATACAAACTCACTACCAGCACCAGGGCTCCCCTTCCCTGCCATGGAGGATTCCACCCACCAGCTGCACTTGGAAGAGGCTGGGGGGTAGAGCAAACTAAATTCTTTGTGCTTTCATGAGTCATGAAAAAACCCCTCCAACTGTCTCAACAGTGCATCTGTTTGGGTGTTTTCAAGGAAGCTGGAATGCATCCTCAGAGCTCTTCCATGAGAAAAAGTAAACATGTCATATATAAAACATTTTATTAAACAACATTTTATACAACACTTTATATACAAAAATAAAATGTACATGAAAAATAATCTTTTCCAGCTTAGTGATTTGATTCCTATCTATTACACACACACATTAGAACCTCTTCCATCCAGCACTTGCCTGCATATGCTGATCCAGAAGATCTGTGGGATGTTATAGCTGGTGTGCAGTACTGGAGGAATCCCCACAGAGTGCCAGAAGGAATCTACAAAAGGCATGGTAAAAATAAAGAGCTCTGCCCCTATCAGTGCAAAATTGTTTCATGCAGCAGCTCTTGAACTCTTCTGGGGAAAGGGATCGGGCATGTCTATGGCAGAGAGCATCCTAGGAGTGCACCTGGGGAATGGACTAGGTGGAAGCAAAGCCTAAACTGAATCTTCACATTTTAGTGGTCTATTTACAGAGTTGAAGGGTCTGAAAGGTGAACTATATGATGGAGTAAATCAAAGAAGAGATGGCCCATTAGCGTAATTTTTCTCCAGAAGTGTAATGACAGTTAAGCTCAACGTCACCAGTGTTGCACAGGTAAGCAGCAATCAAAACTAACAGTCAGAGACTTGTCTGCAGTGTCTCCTGTAAGCACTCTGTGGGTAAAGTGCTCGTCACAGCACACATGGGGAGGATGGTAACCTGCTCCCCAGGCCTGTGGCACCCCACCAGCTCAGGCTCCATGGCACAGTGACACCTTCCAGCAGAAGCTTCACCTCCAGAGCCGTGAGGTGGGAGCTGCAGCTGAGCACCTTGAGCACCAGAGTCCTGCCAGTGGGATGGGTTCCTTGTGAACATTGATCATGGTGGTTTTCATGCTAACCCTTCCAGGCCTACAGTTCAAACGGAATAGAAAAGCCACTTTCATCCTTCAGTCAGTAACAAAAAAATTTCTTCCACTCTCCCACGCTTGTTGAAGTTTTGATCTAAGAGCAGTCTGTGGTTGGAGGAAGCCAAGGGTTTACAATCCACAGGGAATGACTTGCATGGTTGGCCTCACTGTATCCAGCCAGGAGAAGTCTAGGTTTTTCTGGTCGTAGAGCCTGAAATCTATCTCTCCTAGGGAAAAGGAACCAAGAATGGGCACTGAATCAATGCAGCAAGAGCAAAATAGCATATAGATATATTAAAAATAAATATCAAAAATTGAAAGATTTCTCAGATGATAGTAAATACTTTATTATTTTCCTAAAACACATCAAATGCTTTCTATTAAACTGTTTCATTTAAGCTATTGCTAGAGGAAATTCTTCAGTTATATTCCAAGGAGTTCCTGAAAGCCAACCTAACTTACACATGTATAACCCTGAAATCTGCAGGCTTTGCTTACTGGAGCTGTTTTTGACTTTTCTTTTTTGTCAACAAATTCCTTACAGCCTTCCAACAGGCTGCTTGGCAATCTCAGAACACAAGGATGGTGAATTCCACCATTTCCTTTGCTGCCTTCCAGTCAGTGCCTTTTCAGCATCCCCCTGTGGCCCTGACTGTCAGGGCCAGCCCAGGAGCTGTACCTGATGTGGTGTCAATGTCCCCATCCTGCTCCTTGTATCCGTAGGTGCTGCACAGGCTCTGGGTGCCTGACTCGTTGGTCAGAAAGCCTTTCCCCCCAATGTTGGTGCTGTGCCAGTCTTGGGCTGGTCCAAGCAGCTGCAAGAGAACAAGGAGATGGTAAAAACTGCTCCTTCCTGCTGTGGGTGCAATGTTTACTTGCCATTAATTAGAAGACAGGTGAGCAACAGGATCTATTTTCTCATGCTAAGTTATAGAAAACTTGTTTTGTCAGTTTAAAAAAAACCATGGAAAACAGCAAGGGCTGGAGCACCTTTTCATCTCTTCCTATCTTATCAGTGGGATGAGCATGACCATGTCTGGAAATGCAGATTAGGAGCTAAACATGTCAGAGGTGGGGGGAAGGGCAAAACTGAAAAGTCCAGAGGATCATTGCAGACCCTAATACAACAGCCTGAGAGCAAGGCAATGGCCTCAAGTTGTGCCAAGGGAAGTTTATAATGGGTATTAGGGAAGAAATTTTCATGGAGAGGATTGTCAAGCATTGGAACAGGCTGACCAGGGAAGTGGTGGACTCATCATCCCTGGAATTGTTCAAAAAGTGATGATAGGGCACCTGAGGACATGTTTAATTAACATGGTAGTGGTGCTGGGCTGATGGTTGGACTTGATGTCTTAGAGGTCTTTTCCAACCTTAATGATTCTTTGATTCTATGAACCTCTAGTCCTAGCAGTACTCAGTAACTTCCTCTGACTTTCACATGAAGGGTAAATATTTCCCTTGGTGTGTCCTCTCCAGTTCATGTTTGCAAAGCAGCTTTCTTTTTATTTTTAATTTTTCAGCCTTCCTCATTAAGAAGGAGTACGTTCAGCTCGTATGAGACTGGATCAGATCCCTGCTCCCCTTTCTCTCTTGGTACAAACACCAACCTTGGACAATTTTATTCTGACCAGAAAATCTGCTTTTACCTTTAAAATATCCTGATTTATTTCCTCTTCATCTTCGTCTGTGACTGTTTTGTAAGCACATAAAAAAAGGGGAAGAAAACGTAGATGTCAAGTTTTAGCCCTCATACTTCTGTTTCTTCACCACAAAACCTGCTTCATATTCTCTTGTCACACAACATGACCACATTTTATTCATGCCCTCCCCCGACTCCTCACAGCCCTTCATCTCTGATGCTCTTCAGCAACTGCATGTGGAGGTGCAGGGCTCCAGCCAGCTCTGATGCCTCCCCAGGGCTCAACAGAGCAGAGCCCACTTGCTGTGGAAGGTGAGAGGAGGAAGATGATTTGCACCCCAGTGAAGAACCACTCTGATCTATCCACATTAATTATTTATTTCAGTGGCAAGCATGGCTACCTCCACCATCTCTGCTGGAGCAGGAGGCATTTCAGAGCCTTTCACCCATGGGTAGGTGGCATGTGCCAGCTCTTCCCTTCTGCACCCTGGTTGGCTTGGTAACTCCAAATTCCCAAAATCTATCAGGTGGGGGTTGTTTTTCTACAAGATAGCTCTTGTTTCTCCTGTTGGCCCAGGCACTCCTTCATCCTGCTGCCTTGCCTCCAGCAGAGCAGTGAAAGGCTGGGCTGGGAAAAAGGAAATACCCACCCTCTGAGGAGGAAGCCAGGGGAGACACCTGGAGCTGGTAGAGGTCGTTGGTGCTGTCAGCCATGGTCACCTCCATCGGTGGCCTCCAGTCGCTCAGGGAGCCGCTCACCTCGCAGGAGGACAGGTCTGTGGGATGCACCAGGGGTTGGCACTCACAGGACAGACAGACAGCCCTCTTTCCTCCCTCCCACTCTGACACTGCAGCTGCCCCAGCCCCAGGACTCATCTTGGACCGTGGGTTTAGCACAAATGGCATTTTCCACTCTGCTCAGCCCTAAACCCAGCATCTCACCTAAGGTGATGGCTGGGCTCTCCACCTCCACTTCCTGCCCTGCATAGTCGTGAATGGTGTAGCCACTGTGGTCATCTGGCAGAGGAGTGTTGGTTAAGCTTTCTGCTGACTCTTTCAGCCTTGTCTCTTCATAACACTGAAAACAAGGGTAAAGCATGAAAGACTTGTCTAAGAACGTGCAAGTTCCCATATGAAAAAAGTTAAGAAAGAAAACCACCAAAACCTCTAACTTCTTAAGCTGCCTCTACAGACACATACATACCTTTCTCTTGCTCTTGTTTCTTGCCTCTCTTGAAGACTTTGACTTCCTTTCTGTGAAATAAAATCAGACGAATGTGAGAAAGGGCTGCACATTTTAGGCAAGTGTGAGCTCTTGCAGCCTTGAAACCTGCTCAGCAAGCTCAGCTACTGCCACCACCAGCCATACCCCTGACCCCCTGATGCTGCCTTTGGGCATGTTTAAGGAATTTGGGATAAAATGAACTGTTTGTACAAGCTGTTCCCAGCAATGCCCAGTGAGCAAGCCCAGTAGCACCAGTGCTACCAACAGGTCAGTCACCCCCTGCTTGTATAGAGCAGGACCTTTAAGTGCTGTTTAAGCAGTGGATTGCCAAGGGCTTACCTTTCTTCTGGTGCTTTGTCAAGGGTGGCAGCATCCTGTAAACCCTGACAGCACTGGAGCCCTTGTTGATGCTTTTATCCTTCACTTCTTCAATGTCAGGCAGGGAATTCATGGCACAGCGGAAATTTGCCTTCCAGGTTTTTGGATCAGGATCTTTCTCACCTTCTTTATACCTTCCTATAAATAAGAGATGGGTTGTGTATTTTAGACTTCCCAGTGCTGGTTTTTCCCACCAAAAGATACCAACATTCTATTTTCTGGCATATATGCTAGTAGTTAATCTAACTACCAGTGTAAGGCAAGGCAAAAAAAAAAAGCCTTGTTCAAGCCAGTCATGTGAGTGATGGGAATGCAAAGGCAGCACCCACCTGTGTGAATGGCCCAGCTCCTGAAAAGGCAGGCATCCTTCTCCATGTCCCAGCCATGCTTAGCTGCATGTTTCCATGGGATCTGAAAGATCCTCTTATCCTGAAATTTAACCAGTAGAGATTTGAATTTAAAAAGAAATGTCACATGCCAGTTTGGAATGATGGATTTAATCAGAGTTCTCAGTTGCATCTCAGAAATGTTCTAACACCCCTGCTCTGTATTTTAGAGCAGGGGGGTTATAACTATTGGCATATAACTACAATGGTTATTTAATCTATATTTTAATTAAATAGCCATTGTTCCATCTATTTTGTTCATGGCATTTAAGGCTTTATATGATTTCTGAAATTGGGAAAAAAACCCAAAGGTACTACAGTACAGTAGAAGTCAGCAATATTATCAACTTTATCCCCAAATAATTTCAATACATTGCATCTAACTTATTATTATGTCATAAATTAAAGCATTTTTTCTAGATAGATTTTGTCAGAGAATCCCCTTTTTTAAGTTGCCCATAATATCCTGCAGCAATCCTACAAAAAATGAAGCTTAAATGTCCTCTAGGGGTGGATATGGAAACTTCAGAGGCTTGGTTCAATAAGCTCAGTGATCTCGACCTGTGCTACACCCTGGTAACAGGGATATGCCTTACAGACCAAAAAATCCAACATTTCTTTCAGGCAGGATCTTAAAAATGGAAGCAACTGGAGTGTAACAGCAGCTGCTTATCTGGAACAGGAGGTGACTTGGCTCAATGAGCAGCAGGAGTTAAAAGCGATTTTAAAGGTTTCTTCATTCTCCAACATACCCAGAATGTTTTCATTGCAATTTATCATTCCCCTCCTGGGAATTTTCCGAGGGAAAAATGGAACTACTCCACTGTGTACCAAGCAGAGCTATCTTTTCTGCAAACAAAAGCTGTTGCTTTTTAAGCATAATGCTGGCAGGTTTTCTCCATGTCTTTTCCTTTATAATCTTGACTTGTGTTTAGTGTCATTTAAGAACAAGGAATATTAATGCGACACAAGTAGTACTACTAACGTAGATGATAGTACAAAGCAGCCTCACCTTGTTAATCCATATCAGTCCAGGTATTTGATTGGAATCAATCTGCATTTCCAACCACGGCCTCATGCGCATTCTTGACACCGGCATGTTGGCTGTGCAAGGAGTGACGAACAGGTCAGACAAACTCTCATCGCTGTTTTAAGCACTCTGCAGTGTCGCCCCTCCCATGCCGCCTGTGCTCAGCATCACCACTGTGCTACCGAGAGCTACTTTTCCAGAGTCTCAACTCGTTCAGTGCCTCTCACCCTCTCCTGGAGGGAAGTGCTTCCTGCTCCGCCTGGCTCAGCTCCAAAGCAGGGCCAAGGTTTGGAATTCGGCAGAGGCCGATGGCAGCACTGGGTGCTCAGCCCGTGCTGCGTGGGGAGCTCTGCTGGGACCGCTCAGCCCGCGGGGAGCCCGGTTCTGAGCCAGGTTCCGAGCCCGGTTCTGAGCCCGGTTCCGAGCCCGTTTTGGGTCCCGCCACCTCCGCCACCGGGTGCGGGTGCCCCCCCGCCCTACAGCCACCGACTGCAAAACCCTCTCCTCAAAAGTTTATTATTAATTAAGTTGCGCAAGGCAGGGGCAGCGGTGCTGCTGCAGGTGGGATCCCCAGTCCCACCGCGACCCGTCCCGAGCAGCGCCGCGAGCACCGGCCCTCCTGGCGCTTCCTTCGCACAAATAATTTCCTGTTTGCGGTGTTTTTCCAAGACACACGGCCCAAGATTGCCCCAAGAACGCGTTTCTAACTTTCACCAACAACCCGCTCGGCGGAGTCCCGGAGAGTGCCCGCCCCGGGCCAGGGTGTGCCAAGAGCTGCCCCGAGCAGCGGGGCTCGGGCCGCCCGCTCCGCTCCGCCGGGGCTCAGCGGCCGAGAGGAGCCGAGCCCGGCCCCGCGGCTCCGCACGGACAGCCCGGCCCGGCCCAGCCTGAACCCCGGGGCTTGTGCGTGCCCCGCGGCCGCTGTCCGCAGGAGGATGCGCGGTGCCCACCCCGCCGGCTGCGGGGCAGTGCCCCCGCTCCGCCTCCACAACCGCTCCGCTCACGGGAGCCGGCGCTGCCGCCTCTCGACCAGCGCAATTCAGCGGCGCCGAGCCCCTGGCACCGCTCCCAGGGACCCTGCGGGGCGCCTTCCTTCCCCTGGAGCCTCCGTGCTGCGCAAAGCAGGGGCTAACGGCGGGATGGGATAAGAGAGGCTGGGATGGGATAGGGTAGGATAAGACAGGATGGGACAGGATGGGATAGGGTGGATAGAACAGGATGGGATAGGGTGGATAGGATAGGATGGGATAGGGTGGATAGAATAGGATGGGATTGGGTGGATAGGATAGGATGGGATAGGTTGCAGCAGGACCCACCTGCGCTGTGCCCTGCAGTGCCGAGCTGTGGCTCTCCCGGCCGACGCGCACCCTCCGCCCGCCGCCCGGCTCTGGCAGCCGCGGGCCGCGCCCGCGGGTATAACGCGGCGGCTCCGGGATTCCCCGCGCCCGGGCCCGGCCGCCGCCCGGCCAATCCGCGCCGCGGCGAGGGGTGGACGCGCCCGTCATTGGCGGCCGCCGCAGCATCACTTCGGGGAAATCACGCTGTTGTAGCACCAGCGGCTCGGGGGGCGCGGCTCCCCCGCTGCCGGCCCGGCCCCGCCCCGTCGCTCGCCCGCGCTTCCCCGCCGGAACCAGCGCCGCCCGGGATCCAGCGCCGGGCCCCCGTCCCACCGAGGGATCCACCTTCTATCCCATGGAGGGATCTAGTCCCTGTCCCACAGAGATATCCAGTCCCTGTCCCATGGAGGGACCCTGTCCCCGTCCTCCCAAGGGACCCAGCCCCCGTCCCGCAGGGATATCCTGTTCCCTTCCCAGCCCCCTTTTCAGGAAGAGACGGTAGGGTCGCCAGAGCGTTTCCTGTGCACATCACGGTGCACCTAAACCAGGGACCAGCCCGTGCCAGGTACCCGCCTGGCCTCAGCACACCAGCGGCAGGTGGCAAGGGGAATGGCTTCATGCTTAGCAGAAGGATACGTTCTGATTAGATATTAAAAAGAAATTCTTGCCTGTGATGGTGGTAACACCCTGCAACAGGTTGCCCAGAGAGGATGTTCTGTCCCTGAAAGTGTTCAAGGATAGCTTGGATGGGGCTTGAAGCAACCTGGTCTGGTGGAAAGTGTCCTTATTCCAAGGTGTTGGCAACTTTGAGGTCTTTTCCAATCCAAAACACCCTGGGATTTTGTGATTCTATGATAAATGGTGGCCAGTGGTATTGTCCCCTCTTATCCCTCTTGGAGGAAGCCTGAGGAAGGGAAATGGCAGCATGGCAGAAGGCTACTGAAGCCATCAGGATTTCTCTTCAGTCCACTGTAACTGTATGACAGGGAGATTAGATTTTCACCCAATGACTTCAAGGTGCATTCTATTCAGCAGAATATTCGAGCATTTTTAATTACTTACATAATTTGAAGGAAGGTTTGTAGTCATATGCAACAGGAATTTATACTGGGGAGAGGTACAAAGATGCATGGGCAGCTGAGACAGGAGTGTGACACCACCGCACTGACTGCCTGCTCTGGCAAGTTTTCTTCTTTTAATATAAAGATAAAAGAAAAGCCCCAACCAGGTTGGTTTCAACTGCAGAGAAACACCCTGTAGGAGTCCCATGCTTTCTCTTAACTAATGTTTTTTGTCTGCTTGGCACACTTAACTTGTGGTGGGATCCTCCAGCTGGGTCTTTATGTTGAGAGAGGCACCATTCACCACCGAGATTTCACTGTAGATAAAGATACAACACATTAGGTAAATTAAAAAATAATCAAAGAAGGAGAAATACTAGGTATTACTAGGACAAATAGAAACTAACATAAACATAACCTGTAAAAGACAGAAGATATTTGATGTTTCAGTGTAAATGTCATCTACAAAAATAGTCACACCACCTCTTATACAACATAAATATTGACAAAAAAAGATTATGCTTTTGAGTTACAGCCTCCCATGGTTTGCTTTCATTGCTCACCCAGCTTTAGAAAAAATGAATTCTGAGCTTCCTGGTTTCATGGGCCAAGATCTGCACATACCAAATGTATCAAACACCTTAAATGAATTTTGAACAGTAACTTTTTTTTGATTCATGATTTCAGTACTCTTGAGACCCTTACTGCCTTTTTTAGTCTGTACCTTGTCAGGAATTGACATCAGACACCAAATAAATTGACCTAGAATAGAAATGCATGAAGGAAAGTTAACAGCCCCACCCCTCAATCTCCCCTTCTTTCCTTGGGTTTAAACCCAGGCAGATCCTGCTTAATGACACCTAATTGACCTTTCTATCTCTGTCCTGCCCCACATCTGCATGGCACGTTTCCATGGAGCAGGGCCTGCCCAGCCTGGGATGCCCTTATGCTTGTTTGTTTCTTTGCTATCTTTATGCTGAAAGAAGGAAATAATTTGTGTCTCCACAATGTTATTGAGTGTCAGGCTCCCTCCCAGCACTCTTACAAAGTCTTCTCCTTATTAAACTGAGTCTTTCCTATCATTTATCTCACTACACTAACCACCCTTTCAGCAGCTTACCTAAGGCAGCAAGAATATACACTTAAATTTGTCATGTATAAAAGTATAATGAAGGAATAATCTCAGGGAGTCATATGGTTGGCCATAAAGCCCTTCTGCTCCACCCAGTTAATCACCCAAGAATTTCCATAATGTCAACATCTTTATTCTCTGCAGAATCATAGCCCTGCTCCAGCCTTATTTGACAGGTGTCTTACCTTGGACACCTTTTTTCATATTCCCTCCATGAATTACCATTTCCCTTGTTTTATCAGTAAGCTAAGACACAGAGATCACTGACATATTTTATCACATTTACTTGATCCAGGGGCATCCCCATCTAGGATTGTTGAATGCAAAAGTAATATCTAATAGTATCTTTATTTAAAACCAAATTCAATCCCAAACTGATCCTCCAGCAAGTTGTGTTTGTTATTCTATAACACAGACCTCTCCCTCTCTGCCAGTGCCCTGAGATAAAGAGCTCCTGGGAAAACTGGAATCCAACTGATACCAAAAAGGTGACCTGGATGACATCAGCCATGGACCTCCTGGCATGGCCTCCAAGGAGGGGGGTTATGGATCAGATACAGAGGCTCTCCTTAAAAAGGCCAAAGAGACCTGGAATCTCCCACTGGGTCTTTTTTCTCTGGCATCATTGCTCTTCCTGTTTAAGCAGCTCAGGGTGGCTCTGATCCTGTGCTAATGGAAGGAATCGTGGTTAATGTAGAACCCTGTGTGCCATGGGGTGAACCTGAGGCTCTGAACATCCAGGAGCACTTTGAGGAGCTGGAAGGTAAAGGGCAGAAAACCAGCACACTTCAGGGCAGGCATGCTTGCCAAGGTGGGCACAGACTGAAGAGCTGCATTCACCTCCAGGTGAGCCTTGGGTTCCAAATCTCTAAGGTGTCCTGGGGGAAAGAGCTCCTGACAGTCTTTGCTTTGAAGATTTTCCCTTCCCCTGTGAACCCAGCCAGGGGAGAAGGTCCACAGTGGGGAATGTGTGCTCTGACCATGGGGAGATGGGGACAGGGAGAGCTGGGGCTGGGGCTGCCACAGAAAGCTGCCTCTGGTGCCTTGGTAGTGAGCCCAGGGAGGCAGCAGAGCCCATTCTGCATGCCCAGGCAGTAACTGGGGGGGGAGTGAACAACCACAGGATGGGGCAGGGGTTTGTGGAGGGGAAGAGTTGGAGCACTGTGAGAGGGAGACTCTTATCTCTTTCCTTGTGGCCCTGGCTGTTTCCTTCCATCTCTGCATCAGGACCTTCCCATGCCCACCAGGCTCAGCAGCCCTTCCAGACCCCACTCTGTGAAGGTTTGTTCCTCTTTTCTACCTGCTTTAAGAGAAACCTGCTTCAATTCAAGCCCTCTCCAATTTCCCCCTACCCCCATCTGCCTCTGTTCCCTTTCCCCATCAACTCAGAAACAAACCTTCCTTTTTGGGACTTAAAAAATGGGTGCAGAGCTGTTCCTATAACCCAAACATTGCCATGGTTCCCCACTAAGGACCACCCAACTGCTGTCACAGTTTGGTGACCGAGGTCATCTGTGGGCAGGAAATGCCTCTTCCTCCCAAAGGCTTTCCAGGTAGCGAGGGGTTAATGCAGAGCGAGTTTTTTTAGGAGCAGGGATGGAGTATCAGCCTTAAAAACTGCCAAGGGGCAGCCAACCAAAACGAGCTGCTTCTGGGTCGGAAGCCGTGAGGGTTCAGGGCTAGCTGCAAGCTGTTTCCATTTCTTATAAATGCCTATTTTACAGAAAGGAACTCTGGCTGAAGCACATGCAGGAGAATGAATGTCAGAAATGTTGAAACTCTGCCCAGCTGGCATGATGTAATCCCAGCAAGTGCTCTGATCTGCAGGCTACAATAAATATAACTGGGGATGGGCCGTTTACAGTTTCCTGGAATTGGAAAGACCTAGCTCAAGACTCAAAATGATTCCAGTCTTTCCCAGTGATAACACAGCAATTTTTTTAATTAGACCAAACAAGACTGTGTGCTTGTTTTGGTGGGAATAAAGAAAATTGCAAAAACTTCACTTATGGTCTTGGACTTTCCTTGCTCCTTGAAAGAGGACACAGACTTGTCATGAGCAATTTGCTGGGGGAAGTTCTGTGAGCTGCAGGCACCTGGCAGCTCTGGCAGTTTTGCTGACAAGGGTGCAGACCTGCAGCAGCCTGAGCTCCTTAAAAAGGCCAAAGAGACCTGGAATCTCCCATTAGGTCTTCACCCAGGGCACAGCAGAGCAGCTGTAGGACACTCACGGGGCTGTGCTGACCTGGGGTGCCCTGGGGTCCTGCCCTCCTGGCCACTGACCCCCAAATCAAATGGGAATCCGTGCACTTGAGACTGCTGGAGTCCTGCCAGGGAAGCTGGGGCTGAGATCAGTGGAAAAAGTATGAGTTGTATCTTCAAGTTCTCTAATTTGCCCTTAGAGTGTCCACATGAGAGTGTGAATGGACCTGCAGAGCAGGAGTCAGGCCAAAGGGACGAGCAGCACGTGGCAGCAAGGGTGGCTGTGCCTCTCATCTGGCTCCTGCCTGGGGAAGTTTGCTCCATCCTGGGCTGATTGGAAAAGGTGCCAAACTTCCCAGCTGTGGGAAGGGAAGGGCAGGGCAGGACAGGCCGGTGCCTGTGGCCGTGTGCTGCTGTGCCTCCAGCCCTCCCCAGGGGTAGGCAGGGGCTGCTGGGGGCTCCTGGAGGCCACCCCACGTCCTGCCCAGCCCCTCCTGCAGCCAGCCCCTCCTGCTGCCCTCCAGCAGCTGGGACAGACCAGCAGGGACACCCTGGGGATGGACAGCAGCCCTCCAGGAGAAGTCAGCTGGAAGTGGAGGCTGCAGTGCAGTGACCTGTGAGTGTTTCACCTCGGCTTCATCTTGGAAAGAACATCCATAAAGCCTGCTTTGTTTGAAATGGTCTGTCCTGTCTTTGTGCAAAGAGGGTGCCAAGAGGAAGTGGAGGCAGGATGCAGTGGGAAGAGGGCTTGTCCCAGCTGGGACAGACCGTGGGTGAGCAGCAGGATGGGACCTGGGCTGAGCTGGGCTGCTGGTCCTAACGCTGAGGGCAGCCATGGGGGCATCAAAGATCTTGTAGGACCATAGCAGAGAGTGAAAATCATGAGCTAAAACATCTGAGTTGTATTACCTATATTTTAATTATTGACTGGATTTTAACCTTGATGCCAACTCTGCTCAGACACAGACTGTGAGGGAGAACAGCAGCCTTAACATATAATACCACAAATTACATAAGCAAGGCTCAGATTTGGTGCTTGAAGAACATCTGCCTGAGGCAGGTGTGGTGCTCCTGTCCTGCTGGGGTCACAGCAGTCACAGCTGTCACTCCTGGCTCTTGGATTTTTGATGCTCTCAAAGGGGGTGCCATAAGCACTGGTTGTGTCCCCCCAAGAAGAAAGGAAAAGCCAAGTGACACCTCCATCCAGCTGGATGCTGCAGGAGGGAGCTGGACTCAGCTGAGCCACTGCTGAGGGACAGTGGCAGATCTGCAAGGAGGGAAGGACCACTTGCAACTTTCTCCCAGCCAAGGAATGGGGACCCCTTGAGCAGCACCCAGTGAGGGGGACCCTGGGGAAGGGACCAGCTGTCCCACATGACTCCTTGTTCAAACTCATCGCCTTCCCATTTGGTGGGAGTGATTTTTTTCTGAAATAAACATGGATTTAATTTTTTTATTATTATTTTTAACATCCTCTGCAGTCCCAGTGGAGATTCCCAGCCACCAACTCGCCAGCTGTGGCTGAAATCTCAGATCAGAGGGGTTTTGTTGTCCCCTCCCTTTGGTTTTGGTTTTTTGGCGTTTTTTTGTCCCACCTTTTTTTTTTTTGTATCCCCTTTTTTTCTGTCCCTCTTTATGTCCCCTGTTTTTTGGTGACTTCCTTTTTTATGTCCTTCCTTTTCCTCCCCTTTTTCGTTGCCTGTTTCTTTCATCCCTTCTCCTTTTTTCTCCCCTTTTTGCCCTGCCTTTTTTGCCCTCCTTTTTCTTTAATCCTTCCCCTTTCCCCTTCTTTTTTTCCCTTAATTTTCATGTCACCATTGTTTGTCTGTTTCTATTTATTAATTTATATAGTTAGTTAGTCAGTTAGTTAGTCAGATAGTTATTTATTTATTTAGCTATTTAGTTAGGCAGTCAGGCAGGCAGTCAGTTAGTTAGTCAGACTATTTAGTTAGTTAGTTAGTTATCAGTTAGTTAGTCAGATTATTAAATTAGTTAATTAGTTACTTAGTTAGTTAGTTAGTCAGTCAGTCAGTCAGTTAGTTAGTCCGGCAGTCAGTTAGTTAGTTAGTTAGTTAGTCAGATAGTTTATTTATCTATTTATCTATTTATCTATTTATTTATTTGTCTATTTATCTATTTATTTATTTAGTAAGTCAGTCAGTCAGTTAGTTAGTCAGTTAGTTAGTTAGTTAGTCAGTCAGTCAGTCAGTCAGTTAGTCCGGCAGTCAGTCAGTCAGTTAGTTAGTTAGTTAGTTAGTTAGTTAGTCAGTCAGTCAGTTAGTTAGTTAGTCAGTCCGTCAGTCAGTCAATCAGTCAGTTAGTTAGTTAGTTAGTTAGTTAGTTAGTTAGTCCGGCAGTCAGTTAGTTAGTCTGGCAGTCAGTCAGTCAGTTAGTTAGTTAGTTAGTTAGTCAGTCAGTCAGTCAGTTAGTTAGTTAGTCCGGCAGTCAGTTAGTTAGTTAGTTAGTCAGTCAGTCAGTCAGTTAGTTAGTTAGTTAGTCAGTCAGTCAGTCAGTTAGTTAGTTAGTCCGGCAGTCAGTCAGTCAGTCAGTTAGTTAGTTAGTTAGTTAGTCAGTCAGTCAGTTAGTTAGTTAGTCAGTCAGTCAGTCAGTCAGTTAGTTAGTTAGTCAGTCAGTCAGTTAGTTAGTTAGTCAGTCAGTCAGTCAGTCAGTTAGTTAGTTAGTCCGGCAGTCAGTCAGTCAGTCAGTTAGTTAGTCAGATAGTCAGTCAGTCAGTTAGTTAGTTAGTCACTCAGTCAGTCAGTCAGTTAGTTAGTTAGTTAGTTAGTCAGTCAGTCAGTTAGTTAGTCCGGCAGTCAGTCAGTCAGTTAGTTAGTTAGTTAGTCAGTCAGTCAGTCAGTTAGTTAGTTAGTCCGGCAGTCAGTCAGTCAGTCAGTCAGTTAGTTAGTCCGGCAGTCAGTCAGTCAGTCAGTCAGTTAGTTAGTCCGGCAGTCAGTCAGTTAGTTGGTTAGTTAATTATGTGTTTCCGATGTTCCCCGACCCTCCGGTCCCCTCCCCTGGCTCATCCCCGTTCTCCTGCTCCGCTCCCATCCCGCTCCCTCCCCGCTCCCCGCCCAGTTTCTGTTTCCCGCGGGAGCGGCGGCGCCGGGAGCGGTTTCCGGGAATCGGCGCTGCGGGGCGCGGCCGCGGGGGGGCGCTGCGGGGCCGGCTCGGGAGCCGCGGCCGGGAGCTCGGCGCGGAAAATGAGAATTTTATCATTGGCTTTTCGCAAATATTGAAATGAATGTTATATGTATGTTAGAAAGTTATGCTGTATTAATTTTCTTAAGTAATTCTTATTAACATTTTAATAGTATGGTAAATGTAATTTTGTGGTTAAAATGTAACTTTCGTAGTTAAAATAGAAGCTGTGTATGTGGGATATTTTTTTAAGAAAGGAATGAGGTACTCGCACCAGATAGCAGCCATAGGATACCTAAATATTTCAGAGAAAAAGAATTTATTGCTCCATTATCAGAAGAAACGAACTTCTTCCCGCCTCGTTCAGCCCTGAAGATGCCGTCAGGATTAAGATGAAGAAGCTGACACTGACCAGACAGGATCCTGTGTTTGAATGGAATTTATGCATCATGGATGAGATGCAGGAATATGCAACGGACTTTTAAGGGTTAATCCTCTGTTAACATGTGTTCTTTTTCAGGCTTATTTTGCCTAGAAAAGGTACCCGGACCGTCCATAACTCTTTGTACTTATTCTCTCATATTGTCCTAAATCGTAATTGTCCAAATTTTTACTACTGTAATTATATTACTATTTTTATAGCCATTATATTACTACTAAACTTTTAAAATTTTAAAACCAAGTGATTGGCGTTTTTCGCACTCGGGACGCTCGGGATTCGCGGGAATTCCAGCGCCGTGCCGGGAATCCCGGGCCGTGCCGGGAAACCCCCGCGGGGCACGGGGCTGCTCCTGCCCTGAGCCCCCGGGGCCGCTCCGGCACCCGCTCCGTGCGCTGACCCCTGGCCGAGCCCGGAGGAGGAAACCAGAATTGGTTTGGGATGAGTAATGCTGCTCGCGGGGTCAATTCAAGTGTGAAAGGGAAGTAGGAAAGGTTATTTGAAGTTAGTTGTTTCACGTTAAGGGTATGCTGTTTTCCCTGGCTGTGCTAGACAAGATGATTTATATGTAAAATAGAAAAATTGCACAAAATATTATATCTAAATTATATAATAGAGGTTATTAATTATATATTATGTATTTTTAAAATATAGTATAGAACTCCCTGGAATTTTAGCATATATATATATATATTATATCTATATAAAATATAGTATAATATAGCAGATATACTATATTATTATATATATTATATATGGTATAACACTTAGATATACTATACTATACTATCCTATCCTATCCTATCCTATCCTATCCTATCCTATCCTATACTATACTAATTATATATAGTATAACACATATATTAGTATATACTATATACTTATATAGTATAACACACTATAGTATACACTTAAAATACAATAAATCATCATACATAATCCAGCACATATTTGTACTAGCTATATGATTTCTTTTTTCCCTGGGCATGATAGAAAAGATGATTCTTTTGAACTTTCTGTAGAAGGTCATAGTTAATATTAAACTGCAGCTGGAGCAGTTCTCCCCTGAAACAGGATCCAGGTGGGTCGGAGGGCAGGTGTCTGCAGTGATCTGAGGGTACAGCGACCCAGACAGAGCTCCCAGTATCTTTAGGTTCTGAAGTTCCTTTTTTTGTTGCTGAGCATGAGCTCTGCCAGCAGCCTGGTTCATTTTTTCTCGTGGGCAG